AAATGATGCTGGGAATCCAGACAATTACTATGGCAGACGACTTCGGACTCGGTGCGTTCTACATAGTCCCACTGAACACAAGACCAAATTGCGACAACGAGGTCAACTCATTTCTATAAAGCCAATAACCTTATTAACTGCAAGTACACCCATGGCTACTGATGACTGCGTAATGATATAGGATCGGCCTAATGGAATGAAAATAAGACTTAATTTTTGCATATACGAATAAAATGCGAATTTCGAAGAATCTTATTAGGCCTTGATGATCAGAGCCTAACACTAACCTTTTGATAACTCTGATTTAGGACTGGTATTGCGTATAGACGCTAACACACACGCACACACTCGAGCAAAAGTAGCGGGACCTGTATGAAAGATAATTGTCCAAACTACTCTATACCTATCTAGGTTTTGTATTATATTTTGGCTTAGCTGAGTCTATATAAGAGGTAAGAAAAAGCCGGATAGTCTTCTTGGCCTAGTATTAAAGTTTGACTTTTACAAGAATGACACCCAGCTCTGATGATGTCCATCATAGATGGACGAAAGCTTAGCACGTTTTCACCCACGAGGGAGGAAGTCTCGTGGATTGCGTCAACATGAATATCGTATACAAACCGAACAGCTGCAGTAAAACGAGGTTTATCTGTCTAGTGAAATCGACCAACGAATCTCTTCTTCATGAACTTTCATACGAAATGAAGATCCCCCTAACAATGTTATCTCAGGAGACTAATCGTAACCGACTTTTTCTTTCGTATGAAAGTACATGATGAGAAGATTCGTAGATCAATCTCACCAGAAGACGTCGGTTGATTCGCAGTGTATTGCAGACGTTTGGTATTAATACGTTTAGGTTGATTTAGTCCCCGAGGCATCCTCCAACGTTTCGAGCGAAGGCGGTCTGAGCTTTCGTTCGTCATGTAAAGAACATCGTCAGAACTTGGACTCATTCTTGTAATAGCTTAAATTTATCACTAAGTCGAAAGGACTAACCGGCTTTTATATATATATTCATTGTGAGCAAAATTTAAGATATAGATAGATATAGAAAGGTTGGGTTAAGTCACGTATACTCTAGTGTGTCTGTGTCTGTGCGTATGCTAACATCTGTACGCAAAACCGGTCCTAACTCAGAGTAATTAGAAAAAAACTTAACATCCGCCCTGGATCATCGAGGCTTAATGATAAAAGGAAAAAAGCAATGAACGAGGTTGCGTTAGCCCGTAGGTAACCAATTGATGAGAGGTGTGTACACGTAAAATTCAGCTTACGAAACTACCAGTCTGAACACTTTAGTCTGGGTTATTAAGGTTTAATGACCAAAGGAGAAGCTTGGTTCGGATTGCGTAGCCCCGCACGCCTGTTTTTGCTGATAAGCCTGATATGCCTGTTAAACAAGTGTTAACTTGGTTAGAAGCATCAATCAGCTGACGTGTTGAATCGTCTCCTACTGGAACACCCTCTTTCTTTTTTAATCAAGAATAAGTAATTCTTGGTTAGAAGTTGTTTGACCTCTTATCTTCTTAGAAAAAAAACATGATGCCAAGAGGTCTCGGCTTGCCTCTCTGACTAGTCTCAGCCTGATAATTTATTCCTCATTAAAGATATATTATTATCCATTAAGCCCATAGGATAATTACTATCCAGGTATAAAAGTTTGTCTTCTAACTCTTAGGTAAGATGATTTTTATCCGCAAGCCTCATACTCCTAATAATCATAGTTTTAAAATTCCAACCTTAGTTATTTATAAAATTAAGGTTAAAAAAAAACTCATAACGAAACCAGCATATGCTGGTTTCCTATAAACACGTCTGCCTAGCTAACCAGTTTCCCTAATAATCATAACGTCCAAAAAAGTTAACTTCTATTTTCTTCTAATTCCATTGTGAATCAACTATTTCTTTCACGCTGTAATCTCTCAATGCTCCACCGAGATGAGCATTAGAGCCTCAATGACTCCTCGAACACGAATATTTGTGTACATTGATACCACGTCAAAACGTATTATTATATCTGAAATATTTTGCCGGTCCACTAGTTTAATAAACCCATGAGTTTTTTTCACCGAAAATAACCAAAATTCGATTATTTTCTTAATTGTATGGTTGAAAAGCGTGAGATACTATGCATAACGCTGTCCTTATTGTTAAAAATCAAACGGTACACTCTTCTCTATGCACCTTTAGAAGGGCATAAGCAGAGGATGCCCTAGCATCTCCATGAAGTAGGAAATTCATTTTCCAATTCTCCATTTCCCCACTAATTAGGCACACATTCAAAGCATCTCTTTGCCTAGTTTTAAGTCCCTCTGTAGGATCCTTCGTTAAAGGCTTATATGTGTCAATACCGTTTAAATGCACAAGCATTTTCTCCAGATAATTTGACCTATCCAAGATAACTACTGCTCCATCCTTGTTCACTTTTATATCAATTAGATTATTACGAACGAACGATACTCTGATCAGAACAAAGGATTTCATTGGCGTAACTATCTGGTCAAAGTGAGTAATCACCTCCAACACTACACTATTCTTGACTTGTATAGGTAATAAACCTGATAAGCTAATTAGCTCAACCAATATTTCCAGAGAATGGTTTGCTTCATTCAGTAGTGCAAAATTCAATCCTCTTTTAGGTAGAAGTCTCACACCATCCTCCAACTAGAAAAATTAATTATCTTATGGAAGGGATGAAGAACAAGATGGTTTGGCTTTTTGTATGGTCACAGTCTCCTTTCGCTGTATAGAAGTCGTTTGACCTCGTCTTCGCAACGTGGTGAGAGAATCAGGGAGACCCTGTGGAACGTCCCTACGATTATATTCATGATTGCCAACATCGGATCAATGATTTAGAATGACTAGGATGCAGACAAAACGTTTGGGAATCTACCAAACTAATTGTCCAATGCTGGAAGTTACAAATACTGTGGCAGAAGGCACAAGATTAGGTACGTTCCACAATGTCTCTCTGATGCGCCGACCAAGTCATAGACTTGGCATCATAGATAAAAAGAGGATAGAAACCGTGGAAGCAAGAGCTGGTTGGCTTACAATAGTCGTGATTCAAGGATCACTTCTATGATCAAACGCGACCATTTTTTAGACAAATAGCTTTAGTCTCCACCGTGTATTTCCTATTTATATATGTGATACCATGTCAACCACTGCCTACATCCTAGTCTCTTGTTTGCCAACCCACAAACGTTGTGGTTCAGCATTGAACCGAGTCAAAGCAAGCATAACCACAACATTTGTGGG